ATTGACTTGATGGTAGCTAACAGCAATAACCATCACCTTTGTCTTCCCTCACAACTGTTATCTCCTAACTGATCTCCCTGTTTATGTATACTCTGGCTTTCTACTCCTGTAAAGATTTACACCCTCGGAAACCCTGTACAGGGTCGCTATGGGTCGGAACCGACTCGACGGCACTTAACAACAACAATAACAAAGGAATCCTGGGAGGGAGTCCTGGTGTGGCATTGTGGGTTAATGTGCCAGACTACAAAGCCGTTTGAACTGCAAGGTGGACGGTTCAAGCTCATCAGATGCTCCTTGGAAACCCTATACTGGGTCGCTATGGGTCAGAACCGACTCGATGGCACTTAACAACAACAACAAAGGAATCCTGTGTGTGGTACTGTGTGGGTTAATGTGCTGGACTGCGAGGTCGGTTTCAACTGCAAGGTTGGTGGTTCAAGCTCTCTAGCCGCTCCTTGGAGAAACCCTATACAGGGTCGCTATGAGTCAGAACCGACTCAATGGAACTTGAACAACAACAAAGGAATCCTGGTGGTGCCATGGTTAAGCACTTGGCTGCTAAGCAAAAGGTCAGCAGTCTGCTGACAACCTTGGAAACTCTGTGGGACAGTTGGACTATGTCCAAGAGAGTCACAATGGGTTAGAATGGTCTCGAAGACAATGGGTTTGGGGTTTTTTGATTAATCTTTGTAGAGGCAGTTCTCTAGGCTTTTTCTCCTGTGGAGGTGTCACTGGGTTTACCCTAGACCTTTTGGTTGGCAGCTGAGTGCTTAACCACTATAATACCAGGGCTCCTTCCACCCACCTTTGGCCTGTCAAAATGACAACTTCCCTCATGTCAAAGAATGTGGCCAAATTGAACCTGAAAAGCCTGAAATGGAATTCTTCTGGAATTCAGAGCTAACTTCAAATTAAAGTAGAAAATAAGAATGCAAGTAACAGTGCAGGGCCACCAAGTCGGGTCAGTCCACGTAGGAGGTGGTGGGAGATGAAATGAACGCCAGCAATAGAAATCAAGAGTTTAGAAAGCACTGCTGGACTCAAAGCCACTGGACTTGGTGGCGGGGTCCTCGTCAAGAGAGGAGAAGGCGGCAGAATTAGCATTGACCTTGAAGTTTGGGAGACTGGTTGATGGTGATGTTGTAAAGAAAGTCGATGAATATAGAAAAATAAAAAGAATGCTTAAAGAAATCAAATTTCTTTCTGATAACTTTTTTCCTAATTTACTTTTAAAGGCCTATTAAATATAAAAAGAAACCTGTTTGTAAGTTGTTTATAGGTTTATCTATCTTCAACTCCTAATTCCCATTGATGTTGTTAAGTTGAGTCTGTTCTGAGTCATAGTGACCCTGTATAGGGTTTCCAAGGAGCAACTGGTGTGTTTGAACCACTGACCTTGTGGTTAGCAATCTGGTGCTTAACCTAGAGTGTCAGATCAGGACTCTCTAATAATTGCCATAGGGAGAATCTAATTCTCTCTCTAAATACAGACATTTCCTTTTGATGCAAATACTTTGGCTATATTAGTAATTCATGCAAATCTTGATGGAAATGGACACGATTTTCGGCCACTGAGATGTGAGACTCACTGTGCTTTGTAAATGTTCTTCCATTTTCTCCCCAAATAAGCCCCTGTATTCCAGAAGGCTGCTCCTTCCTAAATTTCTTCCTGTCATTACTTTCTGTCTCCTTTTGCAGCAGGCAGTAATAAGCTTTGGCCAATGGCTTTATTTTGGTGTGGACACATGTTTAAATAACACATGTTGAGTGAGCCTGTTGGTTTGTTTTGGGGTCTCCCTAAATTGTCGTATAATAAGCCCTCTTTCAATGACGTTTCAGCTGCACTTGGTTCATTGGAATGCTGTCAAATTTGAAAGCTTTGAAGATGCTGCACTGGAGGAAAATGGTTTGGCTGTGATAGGAATATTTTTAAAGGTAATTTAAAAAAAAAATTCATACCAAGTGAAAGTAATGTGTTGTATACTACACAAGTAAGCTAGAATAGTGTTATTTACATTAAGGATATTAGGATCAATACACTGCTAAAAATAAACAGTGGTTAAAATACGAGATGGTTACAAAAATCTCTTAAATGGTTATAAAGCACGCTGTCCAGTAGATATAAGCCACATATGGCCTTTAGGCATTTGAAATGAAGCCAGTCCCACTGTGGAACTGAAGTTTTCATTTGATTAATTGCAAATTCAATTAATAACTGATACTCAGTGCAGTCATTAGAAATTTTTACGAATGTTTAGATCAACATGGGTATGTGAAGGTATGCTTATCACAGTCAAGTTTTGGAAAACTAACTACAGAGAACGTATTTCTGATGAAAATTCCGTGTACAAATTAAGATGGATGTGAAATACACACCAAAATTGGAAGACGTGGTATATGGGGGGGGGGAGGGCAAAATTTTTTTCATTGATAATTCTTTATATTGATTGCCTGTTAAAATGATACTCTTTTGGATTCCTTGGGTTTAGGAAAACACATTTGAAATGTCACCTATTTCTTTTTGCTTTTGTAATATGGCTACGAGAAATTGAAAAGATCTCTGGTTAGAGTCTACCCAGAGGTGCCTCGGAGGAAAGGCCTGGCAATCTACTTCCAAAAAAATCAGTTATCAAAAACCCTATGGAGCACAGTTCTACTGGGGCCCACATAGAGTCCTCATGAGTCGTTGTGGAATTGACGGCAACTCTATGCTATGGTGTGACAGCAATAGCCACATGTCCACAGATTAGTTGAGCAAAGAAAAGGAGAAGGGACATGGGGTTGCTGAAAAGTCCAGCAAATACACAGTAATTCAAGCCACCTGTGCTTGTGATCCCCTTTGGGGCTGACACGTGGCACAGGGAGAGATTCATGCGCACTGGGGACAAACTGTTTCCCACCATCCCAATTAGATGTATCAATCAACCGTCCAGTTTTAAAATTGATTTGCTGGAATTTTATAAATATTTCTTCAAGATTCAGCCTGAGAGCCAGTAGAGATATTTCACAGAGCCAAAAGTGCCTTAATAAACTGTAGCCCATGGCAGTTGATCATTCCAGGATTTTGCAACCACAGAAGAATACATTTACTATGCAGAATGACTGCCTTACTGTAGGTAGGCCCAGAGTCTCACTTTCAAGATCTTCGACATAGTTTTAAAGCGACCAGTCTTGAATGCAAATAAAAAAACAACCCTATGTGGACCATAGGGGAACTCCTAAAATGCCATCTAACTGACTTGAATATTAAACAAGAATATATACAAACATCAAAGTAGCTCAGGTAGTATAGTGGTTACGAATCGGGCTGTGAACCTTAAGGTCAGCAGTTGGAAACTACCAGCTGCTCCGCAAGAGAAAGATGAGGCCTTGTGCTCCCGTAAAGATTTATACCCTTGGAAACCCTGTACAGGGCCGCTATGGGTCAGAACCGACTCAACAGCACTTAACAACAACATATACAAACATCACACACACACAGAAAGTATGTTCTGCCTTTGCTAAGCGCTTAGTTTATCTTTCCAAGAGCTCCCTGTTGCTTGTTGTTACGTGCTATCGAGTCAGTTCTGACTCATAGGGACCCACTATATGGTTTCCAAGGAGCAGCTGGTGGGTATGAACCACCAACTTGTGGTTAGCAGACCAGTGTTTATCCTACAGTGCCACACCCAGACTCCCAAGAGCTCCCTGATGACCACATGGTCCGTTCCCTTTCTCACATGAAGAAAATAAAACTCAACAAGGTTAAAGGTTTTATTGTCAGGGTCATGTGGCAAGAAAAGGGAGCCGTGGATTGAAAACCCACAGACCATAAACCCCGATGGGGCCTCAGAGTCCCTGCAAGTTCTGCCCATTTGGGAGGCTGAGGCTACTGGGGTGGGCCTTGAGGGCCTGAGGCCTGATCTGAAGGCTGGCCTACTGTCTACCTTGCTCTGAGAGCTTCCAGCCTCAGACAGACAGGATGAATGGCCAGTGGGCAACCAACAGCCTGCTCCTTTATTCTGCATCTGAGTTAATGCTGCCAGGTGGAAATCATCCGTAGCTGCCAGTTGTGGTTTGCCTTGTGCACTGTGGTTAGTTAGTTCATCACCAGGTTGTTGTTGCTATTAAGTGCTGTTGAGTAGATTCTGACTCATGACCACTGGGTATAGGGTTTCCGATAAGCGGCTGGTGGGTTTGAACCAACCACCAACCTTCAGGCTAGCAGGCCAGTGCTTATTCTACAGCCCCACACCAGGACTCCGGGTAGTTAATTCGTTTCAATTCACATGCCTTGAACCGTTTCTGTAGTGTACTGTCAATTGTATTTCATATGCTCTCATTGTTGGTTCTTTATTTAGCTAGGCAGACACCACAAAGGGATGCAGAAATTGGTGGATACCTTGCCATCGATTAAGCATAAGGTAATTTTTCTTTTGTTTTGTTCCAAAATTACTTGAAATTTATTTAATGACAAGGCAACTTTGAAGCAGGAAATGCAATTAAATTGAATGTAATTACATAGAAATGTTAGAAAACAACTTGCCTTCTAGAGTGCTCACATTAGGAGACACCCTGCCCTAGGGTTACCTTTCATGGGTGTGGGAAGTTGTTGGGATTCGTAGGGGGATCTATCAGTGGGCACGGAACTTTCTCCTGTCACCTTTTGCCAATGAGGATTTAAGCCTCAGGAGTATAATCGTCCCCTCCCGCCCCCGTTTCCTACACTACCCCCTTCTAAGCCAAATCCACTGCCAGTCAAATCGATTCCTACTCACAGAGACAGAGTGAACCAGAGGGTTTCCGAGACTGTAAATCTTTACAGGAACAGACAGACTCATCTTTTGCCCTCAAAGCAACTGGTGGATTTGAACCTCCGAACTTGAAGTCAGCAGCTCAGCACTGCACCACCAGGGCTCCTTAGCTCCTTTTAAGTCCTTGTAAAAACACATGCAGAGTAGCCTTCCTTACACTATCCTCCCACCAGCAGGGAGAAAAGTTTTACAGACATTTGTGGAGCTTTAAAGAACACTTGCCCACATCCCTCAGGAGCTCTGGTAGTTACGAATCTGGCTGCTAACCTCAAGGTCAACAGTTCGAAACTACCAGTGGTTCCATGGGAGAAAGATGAGGCTTTCTGCTCCCGGAAAGATTTACAGCCTCGGGAACCCTATGCAGGGTGGCTATGAATCGGAGCCGACTCTAAGGCACATAACCACCACCACCCATATCCTTTAGCTTTGTCCTTTGTCCAACATCCAGAATGAATGGGCCCATAGTCAGAATCCCTGAGGAACTGCTCCTGGGGAAGTCTGGGATATTCTTTCTCTAGTGCCCCCACCCTACTCCACCATGGGGGCAGTAAATCTTCACAACACTCAAGGCACTGGCGTGTCTGAATTGGGTGACTTCAGACCCAAATCAAAAAGTCCATCCTGAGTTAAATTAAGATTTTCATTTTTTATTTTCTAAAGAAACCAGTCTTGGTTTTACTGCTTGGAGAAAGACAAAGGTTAGGATTGTGAACCTGGACAAAGAAGCACTTGATACCTGTTAAGAATGCAGAGCTAGCCCCAGAGACATGTTGGTCAGCAGGAGAATAGGAGACAAAACTGGTAATGTTAAAGAAGTTGTTATTGTTGTTGTGTGCTGTCGAGTCGGTTTCGTAAATAACGTTAGCATCCCTAAATCATTGTGGTTATTGATAGTATATATCAAGTCTTAGTTCATGTCCTGACTCCCAAAATTTCACTCACTAGGATTTTCCATTGATCGCCCTTTGTAAAATTGCAACTAAGGTAGAGTCTGAGTTTTGGGGCAAGGAGACAGATTAATTGTAGCAGAAAAATTGGCCCCTGACAAAATACTTTGTTAACCAGCTCTCAAGATGTACAACTTCAGAATGCACCTAATGAGCTTACTGATAATGTTGAAGTTTGTAGTTGAATAAACCTTTTGTAATTTTTGCCATGCTGCCCACCCCCCATTTTAAGTTCCTGGAAGCACACATCCATGGTTTACTTCACCTTTTAAAACCCCACCCTTCCCCCATGCCATTCTGAGCACTGAACATTTTGCAGGAATGGCTCGCCTTTTCTGAATGTGTTTATTGTTTGTAAGTCCATGGTACAATCAAATGTTTATTTGGATTTCTAGCAGATTGTTGGTCTAGTATTTTCACTAAGACTGCACCAAACACTGACTGGGTGACCCCTTCTCTTGGTCAGAACACCCTGGTGGAATTTGGGCCTTTTGACCCTTCTTGCCTGGTGCCCACCTGCCCAGATTACTGCACCTACTCGGGGTCTCTGACCACGCCACCACTCTCCGAATCCATCACTTGGATCATTAAGAAGAAACCAATAGAGGATGATCAGGGTCAGGTAAGCTCCCTCTACAACCTGGACCGAAGCAAGTTCAAGTGCACCCTCATCAGATTGGGCTGGGCTCAGAATTTGGTATTCTTTTTTAACATTTTGTAAAGCTTATACATTTTTTATTAAAATGTACTGGCATCTTATCTCAGTTTGGACACGAATTGGGAGATGTTTCAAGTAGAGCTAGGAGTTAAAACACAAGAGAACAGACCCAATTACCTTTCATACTTGATGGTGAATGTGTGTGTACTGTTCTTGTTGTTGTTGTTCAGTGCCATTGAGTCAGCTCCAAGTCATAACAACCCTGTATAAAGTTTCCCAGAAGTGGCTGGTGGATTTGAACCACCAACTTTGCGGGTAGCTTATCCTGCTCACCAGGACTCTGTGTGTATATTATTTACTCATATTTTATATATAAATGTGAACATTTATATAAATTACAGCCCCTTTAAATGGAAGAATGAAGGCTAGCAATATATGCTTCAAAACTCTTTCAGATCCTGAAAGGAATTGCACTTAGATTTCAGACATTTTATTCAAAATCAGTTCTTTCGACTTTGGATACATTTTTAATCATAGAAACTAAGTTCAAGCGATGGTAACTACAGCAACACTTAAATTTATAATGTAACTAAACTACAATAATTACTACTTTTACTTTTTTGCATAGAATTTTTCAACTCTTTTTTCCTTTTCTTTCTGTCAAGATTTACATAACAAATCATTTGCCTTTCCAATGTTTTTCATGTGTACAATTTAGTGGCATTAGTTATCTTTTCATGTTGGATGGGATTTTTACTGATTAAAAACATTCTCACAAAAACAAAAGCTTCACAATTCTTTTTTATGAATCCAGTATAACACTGATATCAAGATACATCAAAGATTGAACCCAAAAGGAAAGAATAGGCCAGTAACTCTGAAGAATATTAAAGAAGAAAAAAAAACGCACTATATAAAATATTAGCAACAGAATCTAGCACTCCATTGTAAGTATAATCTTTGTCCAAACAGCACTTTTTCCAGTAATAAAACATGGTTTGATGGTTGATTGTTGTTGTTAGGTGGCTTCCAATTGGCTCCAATCATAATGCCACCATACACAACAGAAGGAAACACCATCCAGTCCTGCGCCATCCTCACAACTGT